TGTACCTTTACGCGCTCTTTTCCTTGCCAGGCGTTCCAAGGCCCACCGGGAAAGTTCCCCAACAACTTCGCGCTGCTGCAGCTTCTCGGAGATGTGAAAGTCAGGTTAGTAATCAGATGCCTCGTTGTGTGGTGGCATCCGGACTGCGCTGTGAGTCTCACTGCGTGTGCCCCACAGGAGCGACAAGCCCCGCCCCCGCGGCTGGTGCTTCAAGTGCGGCGCCGCCGCCTCTCCCAAGTGCTGGGCCGAGCACGATGTCCTGGCCGTCGGCGCGGCTCTGAAGCGACGCTTGGAGGAGGGTGTGCTGTCGCGGGCTGCCGGCCAGCTCAGGGGCCTTCAGGACCAGGTCCAGGAGGAGCAGGCCGCGCAGGCCCTCACCTTACTGGGCGGCCAGTCCTGGGGCCTGACACTGCGGGGCGGGGACCGCGTGTTCTCGGGGACCCTGGCAGACGCCGAGGACCCCGTGACGCAGGCCGTGCTGCTCGGCGTGGTGGCCAAGGCAGGACTAACGGAGGTGCGTCAAAATGGGGGAACTTTGAAACTGGAGAGGAGCGCTCAGCCCTGCTGTTATAACACGCACGGCATATAAGGCCCTGTCCACTTTGTGGCCACGTTCCCGTGTTAACCAGTCAGAGGGGAGCATTTTGTCACTTTTAATGCTTGGCTATCTATAATGTGTACATTTGCAATTTTCCCTCCAAACAGGCCACAAGCAGCGAGGGAAAATATGAGGTCCATTGGGACACGGACCGAACCAATTCGGCCAAGGCCAAGGATCAGGCTGACAACGTGGAATTAGTTCGTGGGGTGAGTTCATACAATACGCTCCACCGCGCCGGCATTTAACCTTTGTTTCCCTTCGTTGCTTGGTTCTACGCGCGAGGCGTGGTAACTCTTTCTTCTGCTGCAGGTGGAACGGCTGATCAACGTGGACTGTTCTCACCATGCCCTCCTCGAGGTGCTGCAGGCGGCTGCGTCGACAGTGGAACACCTGAGTGTATCCATGGCCACCGCTGCTGCGCTCCGCGAGACCTGCGCCATGCCGCGACTCAAAAGACTACAAGTGATCCGGTGCAGTCTTGACTTTGCCGACAAGGACGATGACGATGCAGCTCCTGGTCCTGGTGCTGTTCCCCTGCCACCACTCCCCGGCGGACAAGCGCGCCTGCAGTGGCTGCAGGTGCTGGCCCCGCGCCGCGCCCTCCTGGAACTCCTGCTGCCGGCCCATCGCCTCACGCTGGAGGTGCTGCAGCTGGACAGCTGTTCCGACAATTATTCTAAAATGACGTGCAGCAAGCTGTCCGC